AAGCATTGGTTACCAGCTCCTGAGTTTGCCTGAGCTTGTTCTGTTTAACAAACGCTCTGCTGGGATTTTTTTTTTGATCAGTTGAGCTTGTTAGCACATGTAAGTAATTCATGGAAACCACTAATTTTCGTATTCCTCTTGTATACTTCAAGTTTTCATTCATTGAGCTTGTTGGGATACAGCTAAAATGAATGTTTCTTGCTCAATTTTTCTCCACAAAAATAAAATTGCTCTATTTTAATCTATTTCAAAGTAATAGAAGTCTAGGGGAAAGGAAACAAACAAGGAAATATTTTATATGTGGATTTATCTTTTCATTTTTTAGCAGATGAGTCGGATTTTTCCATAGCCACCTTTTGAAATCACTATGTTATTTTGTCATTTCTTTCTGAAAGAGTAACAGTACTGAATCTTTATCATATTGATCATTTTACAAGTTTTCATCTGGGGTCCAAGATAATACATAACATTGTTATTGCATTATTATTTTTCATTTGTATCCTATTGATTTGCTGCCAGCAACTTACAGGTCAATTTACAAAAAGATGAGATATGATTTATTTTTTTTCTAAAAGATTATGCCACAAAGGGGATGTTTTTATAAGGCTGTAATATCTCAGGGTTTGTTTTTCCTTCTCACAGGAATGCAACACATTCATAAATTAATAGTGAAGTTGTACCTGAATTTACACCCAGAGTATCCATGGCTTCTGTATAATTCATATGAGTAAGTGGCTAGGCACAAGCTTACACTTAAATTAGAATTTTACTCCCAGGCATGGTTCTTTTGTCATTTCTTCCTGTTTAACTTAGAAATAATACCATAATTTCAGTATAGGTATACACATATAAAAGGGATTAGAGAGACTTTATATATCTAATCACAACAAGCTGCCAAGGTTTAAGACAGCCAAATGACAGCTACTAAAATTATACATGAAGATTTATTTTTGGCATTGACCAGCTTAATATCTGCACTGAAAATTCCCTTCTTACTAGGATCTTGCTCTTTCCCAAGGCCCTGCAATTCTTCTCCAAAACATTGGTATGAGTTTCTCCCATGGGATCAGCATTTAGCCCTGCTCAGTTCTCAGACATTTATAACCTTTTGTGGCCAACCTGCTTTGCCAGCATAGAAGGGCTGAAGAATTCTTGCATTCTCCATTCTCCATATCTGTACTGGAATGGGTACCATTGGGTCATGGTTTGCAAAAATGTTTGTTTTCTCACCCACACCTCCCTAAAAAAAATGTACTGACAGTACATTACTGTTAGTACACTTGTCTGTATTTAGGAGGCACACTTGAAAAGGAAAACAGGAATACTTAGCCAAATTTCCTTACTACTTATTTTTATTGTCATTAGAGTTTAGCTACTTGGAAAGCAAGTATTAAAGCAGTATGTGGAACAGCGCAGGTATGCATGTGTTTTTATTCCTTCAGTATAAATCTATCACATAATTTTCAAGGGGTTGTTTTTTAATTATTTAATGCAAAATGTGCTAAATGCAGTGAGCTTGTGTATATATACACCCTGATATGTGCTATTATTTTTCTCTGGAACCCATCCAGGTATATCAAACACACAGTGAGCAACACAGGGCCTTTCAGTTCATGCTATGCTTACAGTGTATTGAATTTGTCTGGCATACTTTCAACAGGAGCAAGTCTGACGAGAATTTTTATAGCGCAGAATACCTTTTCTGCCAGTGGAAAATTTCAGTTTTGGAAATGATCTGGCATTCCACACAGCCTTTTAGACTGAAATCAGATACTGACATTACACCATACTCTTCACGACACAGGACACTGAAATAATCTTCTCGGTTGACAACCTCTATTCTAAATCACAGACCATTCACTGACCTTGAAAGTAGAACAAAGTCCAGATCAATTTCTTTTTCTCAATGTGGCACAAAAATAATCAAGTAGCCGAAGGTGATGCCTGTATGTCGTAGGAATATTTCAAAGATTTTTTTTTCTGTTGCCTTATTTGTCTGTTTTGTTTCATATTTTGACAAAAATTTGAACAGAACTGTATAAGACAGGAATATTTAAAATATAGATGTAAAATCTCAGAACACGCTGTGGCAAATATTTCCCTATGCTTTTATATTAACAATGAAGAGAAAAGATGACTATACTCCAGCACACCTTGAGATTATTTTTAATCATAATTGAATGATATAGTGCTATTTATAGACAGAGAAGAGAATATAATTTTGCTTTCTTGATAGTATTCATAACTTTCAGTTATGTTTCACTTGAGCATAGATTTTAAAAATGTATTGAAAAAAAAACATCAGGAAAAATGCCAAATACTTTAAAATATTCATAAGATTTGTTTTTTACATATTTTTTTATATTTATTTATTTATTTACTGAGAGAATCAGTAGGCAGAATGATGAACTGAAATTATTGATGGTATACAGCCCACAGTCTATGAGTAAACATGTTTCAATTTTCTTTTAAATTTGCTACAGAACTATGTTTATGATAAGCTTTGCTGTACATTTTAATTGTATAGAAGTAAAAAGAAAACAAGGAAATACAAATTACTTAAATGCACATTGCCAGATAGGGAGTGGTTAAGGAATCATTATATTAATTACATCTATTTTCAGCAATAAAATACAGTCCCTGCATTAAAAGATGGCCCTAATACATTAATATTAAATTCTTCCAGAAGTTCTCTAATGCACTTTTTATTGTTTGATATAATCCTAGTCCTGGGCAAAGTTGAACAGCTAATCTGCTGTCATTGTAGAATGTGTCCTTCCACAGCCAGTAGGTCTTTGAAGGGTTACTGATCACCGTCTGCTAACTTGGCCCTTATAATGTGAATAATTAATGGCAGGATCCCAAATGTTGAATAACAGGTTCAAATTTGCATTGAGGATAAACATATTTATCTAGCTTTAATGCAATTACTTATACTATTTCCTAATATCAAGGCAGCTCTTTCAGAGATTTTTGTATGTAAAGCCATCTATTCTGGTAAGTTATGAAAGCACATTACAGGGCTTTGGCAAACAATTCTATTTTATACAGTGTTATTATGGAGGAGCTGCCCAAGCAAATCAAGTTAGCAGTCTGCACATCAGAGCCTTAATCATCTGAGTTTTGCCTTTGCACACAGCAAATAGGACAGTCATTCATATTATAATAACCTCTAATTTAAGTTCAGCCAGTGTTGCAAAACCAACAAATTGTTTAGATATTTTGTTTCTGATATGAACACTTATTAGATCAGATTTCAGAAAACATTTGATGGCTAACCTTTGTCAATATCATGACTGTATACTGCACAGAGCTATTGTGTTTGTTTTGTGGGCATAGACGAAACATTGCATAGATGTTATCAACGATCCCTTAGCGGTCAATCAAAATATAATTTATTCCTGTGCAGTACAGGTAAAACATATATCTACAAACTCTTTTTCCGGGGAGAGAAGACAAGATTTCATGCCAGATCAAATCATGCAGATTAAATGTCAACAGTCATAAACTTCAAGTAAGACTTGGAGATTCAATTACTGGATTATGCTGGGCTGTTCTAATTCTTCATAAATCTTTTATATATGTCTTTTGATTTCCTTACATTATATCTGTGATGATAAATTATTGCGTGATGACACAAACATACAGAAGCACCCAAAATTAAACTTGCTAATAAAACCTCTGTTAGGAAGCAAATGCTTCATTAAAACCAGAAGTTGTTATCATAATGTGGAAGTGGTGTGGACAGGACATTGTTCCGTGATAATAAACATATTTCTCAATTTAATGTTAATATATTCTTTGAAGAGGACCAATTTCCTCAGTCAGTGCACTGGTATTCTACCATTCAGCATCAGGACATTTGTAGATAGGGCATCCTCCTACTATGCAGTTCTACAGCGTAGATTATTGCACAGCTTTATTTAAGAATAATTGTCTTCTGGTAGTTGATATTTCCCATTTTTCATTCTTTCATATTGACCTAGAATTCATGTAAAAAATATGTGTTTTTTTACACAAATTACATACATGTATTGCTGTTCTTTTTTCCTTAACAAGTTACAAGTCGTGTCAAAATTCTGCTTTAATGTTATGTTTAAAAGTGGAAAGAAAAGTCCCGAGTTTCTTGATTTTGTTAAAGCCCACTGAAGAGTATTTCCTCCAATATCAGTGGTGTGACCATGCAATGTATTTCTGAACAAAAGCTGAAAGCTTTTTGTGATGATTTTTTCCCTCAGTTGTCTCTTCTGTTCATACTTCTAACCATGCAATGAGAGCAGTGAAGTGCACAGTTTATATTTCTGTGTCCCAGCACATCCTCGTCTCTTAAACTTTTAGTTCTTAATAGTTTTTTTTCTCTTTTTCTCTTTTTTGAGTTATGAAAAGATCCAGCCATCACAAGAATCCAGACACTATGTTTTTCATTTGTGCTTGTTTTTTTGTTTGTTTGTTTGTTGTTGTTTGCTTTTCTTTACTATTTAATAATAATTCAAGGAAGCATTTTTTAATTTTTAATAATTAATTCTCTGAAAATTAAGCACACAGGCACTGTAACTACCTCTCTTTCCCCCATGACATCTATAATTGTTATTAAATGACTCTAGAAGCACCACAATCATTGGAAATCCTGTTGAGATTTAACAGGTGGCCATATGCTACTCTCGATTAGAGGAAGCAGAGGGCAGCAAGATGAACCTGAAAACCTGTCAAATGTAGGCAGAGCTGAGAGTTTACTACATTCCCACTTGGGTACCCCAGGACATATTTTTGCAAAGGGAAAGCTCATTAGCTGCAAGAGAGCAAGTAGCAGTACTCTGTGAAATCTTGGGGTACAAAGCATGCTTTCCATCAGGGATGTATATATTACTGGCGCTCAGCATCTTAATACTTTCTACTATTCTCCCCGCAAAACTCCACAGGTCCAGAACAGAGCAATTCTATTTAGCTTGCTGTGTGTAATTTTTTCTTTTTTTTTTTTTTTTTTTTCTAGAAAGAAGGTGCAGCAACACACAGTTGTTTTGGCTTCTCCATGCCTGGTTTGCTGTCAGTGTGATCAGAGAGAAGGAATCCTTCTTGAAGGTTTGGAAAACTAATGAAATACTGTGAAGTTAGTTCTTTCAAAGATGTAGATTTTAATGTAATCTTTGCTTTGAATGTATGTGTTTGTGTTTGCAATAGGTATGTACATGCATGTTTTTAAGGGCTTCCAAAAATATTCCTTAATTTCTATTTTTTGAATTCTCAACATGTTATTTTCAGTTTTATGTATTCCCACAAGTAAATTCAATTCGATATATTTTTAATTATGGGCTGTTTGATGACTTGTACAATTGATATCACATTTTTTCCCCACTGCAAAACATATATCTTAGATTTTAAAATAGATTCAGTATGATGGATGGAAAGCACCTTCACCTGATGATGCTCCAAACCAATCCTGTGGTTTGCACTTTAGCAGGAATTTGGTTCACATGCCACATCCAGCAGCCAAGAGGACTAAAACAGACATTTTTTCCCCCTGATTCATAACTTTTTGATTCTCTCAGTGGACACCAGCCCCTATATTAGAAGGTCTGTTTGCATGAGCTGAGAAAAATCCAGAAAAAAAAACGAAATACAAAATAACAGCAAGATCATGAAGAGGTATTCCATTTTGTCATAAAATCCATTAAAAGCTGGGATTTCTTCTCAAGTATTTACAAGAGACTATGAATCTTTCGCCTCTCTAGTGCATAATTTGTGTTCCAGTCTCTGAGTTCTTCTGAGTAAAAGGTAACTCTGTTCAGCAAGTCCTATATCTGCAGTCACTAGCAGGAACTTATTAACCAGCTATGAAGCAGAGCTTGCAATGTATTTTCTTTCTGTACTGTGGAAGCCATCAATTTTCAAACTCCTGTAAGACTAGAAGAGCATTCACCGTGGCAGCACAGAAACACCTAAGGTCTTAGATGTAACATCTAAGGACTGCCTACTCTGGGAGATCAGTGTCTTCCATTTCTGTCAGGTCCCAGTCCTCTTTTGGTAAGGGGCATTTTGTTCAACCACTTGGTTCTCCACTCACTGCTGAACTGTAGATTATCTGCTGTTACAGGGATCGTCTACAGAAGATCCATGACTGTATTCACCTTGTAAGACAGTTCATTTTGCTGGGCTAACTTCTGCTTCTTACTTTTCTGCATAGTAGCTTTTATTCAGCAAACTGAACTGCTTAAAGTTGGAGCTAAAATTCTGAGCTAAGTCTGCTCTTCTAGTCTACAGTCTATAGTGCATGATAATTCCTTCCTTGTTTTCTTGTTTGTTTTTCAGCCATTGCGCTCCCTACTCCATTATTCCCTTTAAGAATATATGGTCATGCTTTTCTTAAATTTTCATATCACTTAAAAATACTTCTATCAGCCTAAAGAAAAAAAAAACATCTTTATTTAAATCTTTTTTTTTTTTTTTTTTTTTTTTTTTCCTGGCAGGATGTCTTCCCAGAGCTGAGGTGTCACATCTGAATTAAGTTCACAAAGGACAAACCAATTCTGAAGTAAGTACTATTGCTTCTTTTTAACCATTAGCACTGATATTTCCCACGGTAGTTGCTTTTTAATAAAATCTAAATATGTGAAGTCATTCTGGCTTATTCCCTGAATTATTTAATCATCTATGGACAGGCATGAGGATCTTCAGAAATGTCTAAATTAGTTCAGAATGAGACAACAATGCATGTGTTTTACTACTGAAACAGCATACCAAAGAAAGTGTTAGACTTTGTCTTTTCAGTGCCCTCAGATTAAGACTTGGTGCCTTACTAGCTATACATAGCACGGGCTACTTGGAAAGATTCCAGGGCCACTGGGTGAGGTTATTTACTGTGTTATGCAGGTGGTGAGTCTAAATGATCTAATGATCTTTATGCCCAGAAAAATCTCTTATTCTACATAATACTCTTGACCTTTTTCTTTGTCACTTATTTATCTACACTTAGGAAAGGCTGATGTGTGACTTATTTTACTGATGGCATGCCCTGTGTCCCCGTACCATTGTTAATGTGCTGTGATTTTTTATTCAGTCATTAAAGTACTATTAAAGACCTCAATATTGGTCTTTATGTGGTCACTGGAAGAGTTTTAAGCAGGTTGTTATTACTCTTAAACTGTCTTGCACTATTCAGCATACTCTAAGCAGCAATTACAAAACGGGTTACTTAACATCAAACCTGTACACAGTAAGCTGGTGAAATATGTTTCAGAGGTATAATTCACCCATCCACCAGAGCACAATAAAACACCATCTGTATTTCTGATTTTATTGGTTCTGTCTGCTTTCATCTGGTGCCTGAACATTTTATCTGTTCATACTGTTTTTTCTAATGCAATAAAAAGATCAGACAGGATTTTGCCCTTTATTTTAAGTGTTTGCTGCATTTAGAGGTAAATAACAACCACTTTTTGTGTTGTATATATTCAGACTCTTGAAGGAAGAAAATATTTTGAGAATAAGCATTCTCTACTGCATCCAAAGTATGGTTTAATATGAACAGCCTCTTCTTAACATCTTGTTTTTGTTTTGCTGTCAAATGTGCCTGTCCCTTTCTACTTCAAAAACAAAGGAAGTGGAGTGGAGGAACTGATTTCCTTGCAGTAGGTTTGCATGTTGAAATAGTTGTCAGGTATACCTACCTTATAAAAATTTCCCCTTGTGCCATTTCCTCCAGTTGTCTCCACAGCAACTTGCTTTGTCATCTTCTACAATTGCTATGGAAGTGAATGCATGTGTTCTTATTAATCTAGCCGACAACTTTATTCCCAAGACAGCAGCATCATCCATTAGGGATGGGTAATAAAAGTGTCCTAATATTCTCCCATCTGCTATCCATGCTTCCAGGAGACTCATCTCTCTAGCAGAAAGGTGGCAGAGATAGACCCCATCAACTTGTGGTCTGCATGGATTGTTTCCAAAGTGTGATAGAGCCTGATTCTAGGCCTCAACCTGCAAAAAATAAGTTCAGATTGGAGCATCTAGTTTTTGATACTGTGTCCTCTAGCTCAGTAGGATACATCTCTGGGATTTAGGGATTTATGTTTCTTCATGCATTTTAAAAGAAAAAGTGACGCATGGGATGCATAAAAAATAAATTAGGGAAATACAAAATTTAACCAACCACAAATGCCCTTAGCCATGTCTGAAATGCTGCTGAAAGGTGCATCACAACACAAAAATTAGAGAATTTCAGTACAGTGGTCTAATTTGAACTAATTTCTGACCATAGGGATCAATCAGGACTCTGAATCATATACTTTCCCATAAAATAATGCAGGTGAGGCCACTCTATAACTTATTAAAACACTGAACAAGTCTTTTAGCATATGTAAAGTTCCATTCCCCTCAGCTCAGAAGAGCCCAGCAGGGTTTTAACTTGGTGGTGGACAAAGTATGGGTCCCCCATTAATTCTATCAAATCTATTGCCCTTTGCATGTAGAAATTAAGAATTAATTCATCCAGAGAGACTGAGCAACTTAGTCGTTAAGGCTTCACAGGGAGAGGAAAGATTTGGATTCCAGTCCCTGCAAAGATGGATTCTAAATCATTTACATCAGGAGTGAGATGAGTACAGATCCTCTCTTACAAGCAGATAAGTCTTTTCAGAAATGAGCTGACACTCTGAGCACCAAAACAGATCACAGGAACTACAATAAAAATCAGCGTTCTGCCAAAGCTAAAGGGATAGGAATCTGTCAGGGAGAATGATGGAGCAAGAAGAGTTTATTATAACAGGCAAAAGAAAAAAGCAAGTGAAAAGTGTAAGGAACTGGAAAGGACTTTAAGGAACACAGTGCTGTTTAATGGGGGAGAAACTGAGAGACAAGCAGTTAACAAGCCAGTGTGATGATTAGCATTTTTTTCAAGACAGTTTGCAGAAAGTGACAAGTTAAAGGCTTTGATTTGCCTTTTTCTTACTCTGCTCATGTACTTACATCACTCATTCAATACAATAACCTATCCTAAGCAGTTGTAGGAAGCAGCATTTTTTTTGTTAACTTTTAAATAAGGAAAAAAATTGGAATTTGAAGTATGCATTTCTTTAATAGATAAAGGGTAAAATAAAGAAGTATAGCTGAGTGAATTTTTTGCTTGTCATTTGATAAATTAACATTCAGCATAGGAAGTCCAAAACTATTCAGTTCACATGATGTCAGTCTTTGTCTCCATTATAAAATTGTATCAAAATGAAAACATTCATTCCTGAGCTTGGAAGAACCTAATTCTTCAGATATTCCCTTAATGGGAGTCATGAGTGTTATTTTATTTGGGAGTCAGAAGTGCTGAGATAAGAAGCAGTAGCAGTTTTGGGATTTCTTTCTTCCCTTCCTTCTTATTCCTTTCTATTCAATCAGGAAGAAGTGCAATCTAGGTAAGTAACAGCAAGGCATCCTACATTAAGATAGCAAGTGAGGTTGAAAAGTCAATCTTACAGGCTTTAGAGGAGCTGATACTAGTAGAAAAAGAGTGCCTGCTGATCAAAGCCAGAAGATATAAACATCCTTCGATCTGCTTTCATAAGTCAACAAAGCACATAAACTAGGAAAAAAATGCTTTCCTCTGGTTTGTTTCCCAAAAATGAGAAACTGCTAAAGCCTGTAAGTAAAGAGTGAATATGAGATAGTTGTCAGTGTAATGTCAGCTTCTAGTAGAACAGAAATAACTCACAAATCTTGGAATAAGTTCTCCACTGCCTTGCACGTTGTACAGTCTTTTAATCAAAAGCCAGAATGAACAGTTTCCATCCAGCCTCAAAATACCATGTTGTATTATGCAGAAAGAGGACTATTGCAAAAACGTTGCTTTTCCTGTATTTAAGATCTAAAACCACTACTATGCAGGGTTCTGCTTGAGTAATGACTTCAGTGGCATTCCTTTTTCCTTTTGTATAAAATATATTTTGGCTTATGTTTTCTTTCAGCATACTTCTATAAATTCTCGTGGGACACAGTATGGGAGCCCTTCCAGGATGTGACCTTTAGATATAGATAGAGGAAGTGTGAATGCATATATTCTCATATGGTAAATTATGTATTGACCATAATGACAATTTTCCCTTGTTCCTTTCTAAACAGTTTCATTTTAGGTATTTGTATGACATCACAATATAATTAGTCTTCCATAACATATAATCTTTGGGTCAATTCTGTTTGTTTAGAGTCTTAAACACTTTGCTGCATTTTGATAAAGACATTGTACCGTTTAATGCCAGTGTACTATAATATCTTCCATCAAAAAGTGAAACACATTTTCACATATTATGTGAGGCTATTAACTTATCTATCATTGCAAAACTAGAGCCACAGATAAACCACCTCCTATCCCTTTGTGGTCAGAGGTAATTCTTTTTGCTTATTAGCTGTGTGTTGGTTTTACAGATCTTGTCACTGGTGCCACATTTTCTGTGGCCATTTTCTATTGTGGAATGTTCTCTAATGACAATTGCATGGCAATTTAATACAAAACTAAATTCCAGTGGTGGAGGCCAGTGTCTTATCTACATAATTGTTTAGTGCAGACAGAAATTTTCTCTGATTTCTTGACTCACACGGATAAATGATTATCCTTAGTATCCTTAGGAAGTAACTTACTTGTCTTCTGGTCATGCGTAAGGCTGTGTTTGAGACTATGATGCTTGGCTGCAGGCACAAGGCACTTTTTTGTGAGATCGAAAGGGGTGCTGTCACCAGTTGCATCGCAGCCCTGCAGCTGATATCCCAGTGCACAATACTTGCAATTGGCATAGCAAGCCAACCAGCTGCAGATCAAGATAAGCAGCTACGTCTCTCCCTGCCTGCAGCCCTCACTACATAGTAATTAATGTAGGCTTTCAGTACTCCTAGGGTTTTTGCCTTGAGAATTAGAGAGGATATACATCTTCCTAATGATGCTGTGCAGCACTGAATAGACATGGTTGTTTATGGTGAAACAAAACTGTGATGTAAATAAGGAATCAGTTAAATCCAGTTAACTATTTAATAGTTTTGAGTGGCAAAGTATCCAAGTCCATGAACCTCAGTACATAATGATAGCTTGATATAAACGTCTTCTAGAAATTAAAATGCACTGAAATGCTGCATTATATATATAAGCATTAACAAACTTTTTTTCTTTCTTTCTTTCTTTTTTTTTTCCCCACACTCTCTATTTGGTCTTCTAACAAAATCCTAATCAACAAATTTTTCTATCGTATTACATTTGTATACATATTTTATACATTTACTTAAAAATACATGGAGAGATCTAAATATACTGCTCTTTGTGTTAGTGTAGGTTTAGCAAGCATGCAGAAAGCAGTCTTGCCAAAGCATGCAAAAACATTTTGGCTTGACTGTACTAGTATCTTTTTCTGATCAAAGTAGGTTATTCTTTTGGACATATATTTTCTTATACTGAAAATGCCTGGAAGCATAACAGAAGTAAATTAATTGCATGGTAACAGTTACAGCACTCCCCAAGTTCAAAAGGATGCAAAGTCAACAAACAATACAGTAAATGAGAATGTGAAGACAAAAAGTTTCTCTGTATCTTTTTGGCAAGGATGTAAGCTGGCATTGTTGCTCTTGGAATATCATCTTGGACCTCTGCCAGCTGTGCAGCATCTCAAAACATTTTCTGTTTTTGTTTCTTGCCTTTGTAGCAAGTGCTGAGTTTTGCTTGGAGATTTTAGCTTTTAATGAGTGAAAATCTGAGTGAAGTCCAGCTAAAGACTTCAACTTTTTCCTGTAATATCTGCAATATTGAGTTAAATTAAATAGGGCAAAATTGATCTCCAGTCAAGTAAGCTAGAGCTTTTCTGTTGACTGTTAGGTCAATTTTCATGCAACGCCCCTAAATTTTAAGGAAAAGCTTTCCCTTTGCATTAGGATTAACTAATAACTACAAAATCTTCAGTCGTGTAGTGCATGATCCCATTAAAGCCATCTGTAACATCTTGCCTTCAAATTATAATTGGGGTGCATCATTAACAATGAAACTGAATTGCAAATGGTGATTGTAGAGAAAGAAAACTGTACTGACTTCAGTAGGATCAGCATTTCATTTAGAATAATCTTATCTGTAGAAGATCATGGCCTGTGTATGGAGATGCCTATGTAGAATTTTAGTGCGTAAGAAGGATTTTTACTTGAGAAGGATTTTTACTTGTATTTATTGCATTATTTGTGCAGAGGATTAACTTTCAGTTGGGATAAGCATTGTTAAAAGTCAGAAATCCCATAAACTTTAATGAAGTCGTACTGCCTGAACATTCAGCTTATTGTGTATGTTCATTGTATTATTTTGTTTTCTATTTATCTATTGAACAGTTTTGTGCCTGCAGTATCCCAAACATGTATGGACAGTTAGTCTGAAAGTATAACAGGGACAAAGAAACGGACTTTGCCAAAGAAATATCAGCAGGACTATCAAAAAGCTACTTAAAATGTTTAAGGTTAGTATTTGGAAAGAAGCATTGGTGTGCTGATGGTCATGTGGGGTGATTGCTTGCTCTCTCCTCTCTGTGACGCTGAACAAGGATGTACCTTGCTTAATGTCACCTGAAGGCAGCAGAAATAGTCAAGGCAGTTTATGGAGTTCTGATAACTGTGTTGGAGTGTGCTGGATTTCTGGAGAGAAAGCATCTGTTTTCTAGAAGTGTGAAATGACGTGAAGTTAAATTGCTGATGTTGGTAAATAATTGTGGAGGGCACTAGGCCTATTTTTACAGGCAGTGAGTCCAGGAACCAATGATCACTTGCCTCCTGAAGAACATGATAGTCCTGTTCCACTCAAGGCTGCACTTAGTCACATTTGTTTCAAAATCAGAATATTTGTGCCTGGCACTCACAACAGCATTTTTCTAATACTGTCTTGATACAGGAGCTGATGAATCTACAATTTATAAGTGGCCAAATGCATGTTCTCCATGACAGGGTAGGGATTGGAGCAAATGTAGCAGTTAAGCCAAATAATAAAAGCAGAAAGAAAAGAAGCCAACTTTCCTTCTCTTACTGTCACCTTCAGAAGGCAATTGTCAGAGAGACTTTTCTGTTCAGTGTATATCAAGGTACGGATCTGGTTTAGATTTTTGTGAATAACTTGAGCAGGTGAGTTAGCTTTGATGTCCTGCTTAGTGTGGTGGAAAGACCTATGCTGTAGTCTAGCATACATGCCCCCCAGCTAGGGCAGTGCTGCCTGTGCTCCAGCCTTCCAGACTCAGCTGAGGAAGCTTTGGTTTGTTTGCCTCACGGAAGTGGAAAAGGGGATGTAATTTTTTAACTTTTTGTTGTTGTTGTTGTTATTATTATTTCCAGATTAAGCCCAGTAGGTAGATATTATTCAAATTTTAAAAATTACAACTTCAGCCACAGATAGAGTATGAGATTAAATGTTATGGCCATTTGAACTCAATGGAAACTACTTCTGCAGACTGTGAAGACTTGGGGTTTGGACAGAAGTGACTTAGCACATTATGGAGGAAGGTGCTTGAACGTGCTTCTGAGGGCAGCTGTTTCCTTTCACTTTTGCCCTGTACCAAAAGAAATGAAAGAAGAAAGAAAAACATAGGAAGAAAGAGAAAGAAAGGTGTGAGAGACAGCTTTCATGTACAACTGAAGGGGTAAGTGGACGAAATACTGGGAGAGTGAGAAGAGAGGAAGGTCACTGTCCCAAAGGACAATGCCAAATGACTACAAGCATAGATAAAGAATTTTGCAGATATGAATTTTATGCTTATTGTTTGATTTTTTTTTAGCATAATTTGCACTGCTTTATTTTCATGACTGTTGGTAAGGGGTCAGATTGCTCTAAAAGCAAATATTTTATTGTATACATATAGTGGGATATTCAGAGACACTGCTGACATTTAACCTACTCAGATCAGTTATGCCAACTGAGATGACAAGAACAAAAATGTCTGAGGATCTCTTACAATTGATATGAAAAAATACCCTCTTGTTTTCCTTGCATAATTATAACACATGTGCTTAGGTCTCCTGATGTTGAACAACCCTTTATTGCTTAAATTTATCCAGGTTTCTGTGCTGAATCAAAAATGTTCGGTGTTGAAGAGAATGCTTCGGCTTTCGAATATGGAGAGAAGGAGACATTTCCCATCAGTGTGACTAGTCTTTTTGTAAGTAAAATAAATGGTGGCTGCACAGTCATTTCTAACAGAAATTTAAAACCAAACCAACAAAATAACACACAAGCAAAAAACTGTTTTTTAAGTTATGGTTAGCAGGGAATATGCATAAGTGTACATTAGAAACATTTCCATTTGAACACCAGAGAATACTTTTTTCTCCTGCAGAATAGCTAAAGAAGTTCAAAAAATACTAAAGTAAACCATCATTCATGTTTATATGAATTCTATATAACTGAACAATCATATAATAAATCTATATAATCTGAACAATCAGGGCTTCAGATGTTTACTTCAGAGCTCTTTGAGTTTTTCTTCACTTTATTGTGTTTATATTCTGTATGTATTCATTCTTGGATTCAAAGGAGTTAAAAATAATAAAAGGAAGCCTAGGGTAGGACAGGCGTAAACAAATGTAACTGTCTATGAGAAATGACACTCACATATTTTTCACTGATCCTTGAAAAATTAGATGAGCCTCAGACTTACTTTTGGATTTATCTGCCCTGGTTGTGCTAATGTCTTAGGGCATTCCCAAAGTACCCCGAAGGAATAAAGTCCTTATTTTATCTCCTTTTTCTTGTAAGAGCAAAGATGAACAAAGTGAAATATCGATTCAATTGCTTAATAAACTGATAAACCTGTAGGAGAAAAATGTTTTCTGCTGCATCATTTGTCATAAATGAAATTATTAAAATTAACAAACAAACAAACAAACAAAAAAAAACACACAAAAAAACAAAACCCGGGTGGCCTTTGCCAGAAATTGGATAAACACAGTAATCGTAAAACAATTGTTCCTTCAGTCTTCCTAATCTCTGGAGACAACTAAATTAACACAGAAATCAAAGAGCTTTCATTTACCCTGAAGCCAAGTGTTCCTAAAACCACGAAAACTCTTATTGATACAATTTATTGCAGACTCCGTCCTGAAGCAAAAAAAGTAACTTTGCACATATTTATTTTAATACTTTTGCCCTTTGACTAAAGCTTGCTTTTGACTTGCATGGTCCCATTGAAGAGCAATGCCTGGCAGTGACATACTTACTTAATAGCCTCAGTGCATACTTCATCTGTTTATGCAGAAGCATCATTTTTGTGCACACTGCTGAGAATAAAAACCAAGGTTGATATACCAAAAAGGAAAAACACCACTTACCAATTTTCACTTATGCTCTACAAACAATCTGCATTGAATGTAATGCATAGATCTGTCTTTCATAGAAATGTGCAGCCAAGTAAGTGTGAAACAAAGTTGGAGACGTTTTTAAGATACCCCTAAAGTGCAAAGACAAGCTTTCAGAAAACATTTATCTAATAAATAAATTTGATGAGGAATACTAGAAGAGACAAAACAAAAAAAAAGCAGAGGAATTGTAGTTTCAAAATGCACCCAAGTTAGGGAATTGGAATCTGTAGTCCTCTGCAGTCCTCTGCAGACATCCAGAAAGAGCTAATGCCGTTCAGAGACACATTCAATCGAATAACACGTGTGAAATGACCCTCACTGATCATCCTGTAGATGAGGTATTAAGGAGGTATTCCATGTCTGCCAAGGCTTTGGACTGGAAGTGTTGTCCAAATGCTCCTTGAACTCTGTCAGCTCAGGGCTGTGACCACTGCCCTGGTCCATGCCCACTGCCCGCTGGTGAAGTACCTTTTCCTAACACTTGTCCTGACCCTCCCTTGACATGGCTCAATAATGTTCCATCACTGTAGGCTGCCATGAGACCTCCACTCAGCTTTCTCTGCTCTGGGCTAAGCAAACCAAGGTGCCTCAGTCATTCCTCATAGATCTTCCCTCCTGACTCTTCAACATCTTCATAACTCTCCCTTGGACATTTTCTAATAGTTTCATGTCATTCACATATTCTGGCCTCAAACCCACATACAGCACTCCAGGTGAGGCCACACAGTCTAGAGCAGAGTGGGACAGTCCCTCTTCTTGCCTGGTGGCAGCACTAGACCTGATGCATCTCAAGGTATGTTGGCCTTTTTGGCTGCCAAGGCACAATGCTGGCACTCATTCAACTTCCTATCACTCAGAAACCCCAAAGATCTTTCTGTGGGGCTGTCACTAGCCTGTTGTCCCTTTGTACATTTATCGAGGCTTGAGGCTATAAACTAACATTTCTGGAATCAGGACTCTCCAAAGTGTTTCTAACAAAATACTCCATCACTTCTTGTCACTTTTTATTCAGTGTAAGTAAGACAATTTCTTAGATCAACAATGAAAAGCAATACATAAAATCTAAGACAAATGATCATAAATGGCCCTGCCAAGAAACTAGATCATATATAATTTAATGGATGTAGAAGGTCATTCTAAATGCATTAAATAAAAAATCACATTACAGACAGCCAAAGCAGATCCTTATGTCATTGTGATATTGAGATGGAGAGATAACAAAATTGAGAATAATTTAAAAGGGAAAACAAAACATGCAAGGTGTTTTGGAATGTATTTTGCTAACTTTCTTTAGGGTTACATCTTAACAACAAAACAAAAACAGTGGTTATTTGGCACATAAGCTGACAAATGCCTGCAAAATTTTTACAAAGCTTAAGTGCTTGGCAAACGGAAAACCACACCTTTCTACAGCAGTGTCATGCTAGGCACCACAATATGAAACACCACAGTCATCCATCACTATCAGGACTCCTGAATTCATCCTGTTTTGGAGTACACAACAATAATTCAGATTGAGATTAAGGATAGCATTTAATAAGGGAAGAGGAATGAATGCTATCATCTGCATTCAATATTGGCAGAGAGAACAGAAGAGAGCACTGACTCTTTTATCTCCTTAAAGAGTTGAAAATGTGTGTGTGCATTTTCATGGTATTATTCGCACAGAATTTGTGTCTCCATTTTCAATCACATGGGAATTTTTAATGTAATTTTTCTTAGCAATATTTGAAAATGTTTCCTACAAATAAACTTGACATGCTTCCATGTCGAACTATTATGGTTATTTTAATTATGCAGAAAATTGAAGCTGATAGTGCTATTTTACATGGTGTCAAGACATTAAAGTAAGCTATGTAGAATATAATCAAAATTGCAAGCACTGTGCTTTTTTGCTGTCGCTGCAGAAATGGAACTGAAATGGAACTTTCCAAAAGTCCACCACTTCACAGCAACTGGTGTCCTCTGCGAGAGGGAGGCACAACGTTGGAATTTTTCTATAGAAGATATGTAAATGCAAAGCAACCTGAGAGTAGTAAGTACCAACGTGCTCCCAGTGCAGATTTAAGAGCCAGACTTCACATGCACTGCCTGTGCTGCCATGTGTGGTGTTTTTTGGAGAAAGCATTTAAAAAGATCAAAAAATTCAGAAGCGCATATGCCCTGCTGCCTTTTACTGCTCTGGAGCAGGGCTGAATGCGAAGGACTCTTTCAAGCATCTCTATTTCACCCCATATGTTTGTGGGATAGAAGATGATGTTTCCTTGCAGATTTCTTTGCCCTGAACGCAATAGACTTATCCCTGTGAACAACAAAAGACTAAGCTTTTAGTGATGCTCTTGATAGTATAACTTGAAGAAGGAGCTGTACTTTTCTGCCATATTTATTGCAGCAATTCTCCTTACTGCAAATAAAAACATTTTGTAAGATTTCCCTATTTTCCTTAACTCTCACTGATTTCAGGCAGTCTCACTTCCAGTAGTCTTCATCAACCTGAAGTGTGTTTCTCTTCATTTGCACAAGAACTGCATAAATGTATTTCTGCCTTCATTTGAAGGAAATCTTGGCATCAACCAACTCACGTAAGGCATATATCTCTTCCTGTGCAATATGTTTTTATCTTTCCCTCCCATTTAGTGGTTTCCAGATCACTCAGTTCCTCTGAATTGTCCTGTGGCACTCACAATGGGTCTGTCTTGGAGCTATCCACTGAGACAGATGCTTTTAAAACCTTGAGGAATCAGATGTCTTCCTGTTAGGGCAATTTCTGCTTGAGTTAACTAGTCTATTTCCATGTTTTTCTCAGCTTAAGGGTCTGCCAAGTGCTAGGAGCCTACATTTCATTTAATTTTAGAATCTTCAAAATATTCAGCATGCACCAAAAACTAAAGTAATTCACATCTCACGGTTTCCATATAAGTGGAACGATGCACTAAAACTGAGAAATGTTTTTTGAAAGTGATAGATAAATTATTTCTACAGTTCACTAAGATATCTGTTAGTCTAGAATTAGTTCCCTATAGACTATAGATTGACTATATTTTCTTTCCTCAATGAGATTTATTTTTCCACAACACATGCTGTTTGGAACTGTGATGTAAGTTCAATTTTTAGCAAGTTTGCAGACGAAAGTAAAATCTGAATCTGTTGCTTGTACCTGAAAAAGCATCTCTAATATAAACATTGCTGTGTAAGTGAATAGTGCTAAGAAAGTATAAGAGAGAATATTTAAAGTTACTGTATTATATTATGGTAGTTAAAGTTTTTCTACGTGTGAACATCTCCTTTAAGCAAATAGCACTGTGATGAAAAATGACTGTTTCATTTCTGAATTTTGAGCTGGCAAGCTATAATCATTCTATCAGATTTTCTCACAACGTCAGATTGAATTTATTGTTTCCAGTACACTGGGAAGCGTGAGACTTATGTGAGCCAGTGTGAGATGAGGTGCCAGAGAAAAAGTTCAGAATCACTCAGATGGAACAACTTTTAAGATGGGCTGTGATTTTCAGTATCTAAAAAGATAAAATGTTTGCTTCCTGAAATTAGTGTTTGAATTTCTCTATGAAGCAATGGGAAGGGCTGCATTTAACTTATCATGATGTCCATTGCTCAGAAAATTCAAGAACTTCTGGTAGTATTTTAAGAAACTCGAATAAATGTCAAAGAGCATACAATTTATACAATTGCTGCTCTGAAAGTAATGTCTCCTCTTTTATTATGTTGGCCTATGACATCAGAGGTGGATGCTGGTGGTTTGGCAGTAGAGGTTGAACCTTCTCCATCACATGTTGTTTCCATGTGACAAATGGCAGCAGAGCGGTAGACTCACAGAATGGCATCTGAAGCAAAGGTGTGTCACTGAATTCCTCCATGCAGGAGAAAATAGTCTCCTTCAGCTAAAAATATACCTTTTATCAATTATAAAAATAATTTTCATCTTTAATATTTTTAACAAACCTTGCATAAATTAAGAAGAAGAATGAGAAAAAGCAATGTGATATTTCCCAGAGATCTACAGAGCAATATTCTATACTGTTTCTTTCTTCTGAGCTTTCAAGGAAAATAAAATAACATTGAGGAGATCCATTTTCTATGGAAACCCATAAACAGGCTAGCCACTACTAAAATGCAATTGAAAAAAAGAAACATAGTTTTCCATTTACGAGAGATTGTTCAAAAGGCAACTGACTGCATCAACTTTTCTCTCTCACAGTTCTGATGACAGTACTAAATGTAACCTCAAGAACCATTTGGGATTTTCTTAATATTTCTTTGACAAAGAGCTATTTTTTTTGTCAACATAGCAAGTGAAATACACATAGGCAGTAGGAGCATGGAGGAGTTTATCCTTATGTTATTTCTGATATAAGCAAGGAAGCTCGCAAGCTTTGTTTGTCTGGATGCTATCAGTGAGAATGGTGGTGGTGGTGGCAACAGCAGTTCCTGACCTGCCAATCCCTCTCAGAGAGGGACAGCTATTTCTCAAGCAAACACATAGTTTACCTGCACTGTATGTGCATTATATAGTCAACTCCTTCCAAAATATCTTACCCAATATGCCTATGTGTGACAGCAGATGTCCTGTGAAAGGGCAGCTGAGTGTAATTGGAAAGTTTTGTTTTCTATTATATAGCATGGTAGTATGTTTGTGCCTTTGAAATGTGGGATAGAAACACAGCAGTCCTGTCCATGATCTCTAAAGCTAAAATCCTAAGTTAGTGTCACCTGTGTTAACTCTTGGCATTGCACTTACAGCCAATACTGTACCACTGTTTACAGAGCACACTCCAGTACTGCATGTACAATCCAGAGCTGAGATTTCCTGAGGAGAAAGTGCCCAATGATGGAATTTTACTTTCCAAGTGTGGACGACTGAAGGACAGTTTGAAAAGCCTTCTATCAATATTAGAGGATACTCGAAAGAGTTTACAATCTGCTTCCGTAAGTTGCTCAGAAATCCATTTAGTTTAAAATAGAAAGTCACACAGTAACAGAGCAGGAATGTAATGCTGGTCAGGTGGAGTAGACTAGCTTCTTGCCTGGTCTTCTTGCTACCTCTGCACTCACTGCAGAAATTGTGTCTCTTCCTTTGTCCAAAGTCAGAGGAAGGACCAGGCAGGGGGCCAAAGCTCAGTGTAGCTGGCTTGTATTCACATATGAAATTCATCTGATGGCAGCTTTCCTCTGCGGTAGGCTTTGAGATGAGGAGGAGACAGATGTGAGAGAAGGCTGGCACTGGCTTTGAGACGAGGAGCCACAGGCTGTCAGTGGTGCCGCTGGTAAGTCTGGGAACCATGTGCTCTTTAAGCAGTAATAAGTCACTGGGTTTAATATTCATTTTAGGTTTAAATACCACAACAACTAATACCAATATGCATTATGCAACATTGCCACGGTAACTGCAGGCTTCAAAACAAAGATAAACAATGCTATTCTCCTTTACTTATTTTTTATACAATTATACAAAATAAGATTGATAATGCCTGCTGACATTTTCTTCCTTAAAATTCTAGGCCAATATTGTGCTACTAATGAGATTTCAAAAGCAGGAGATGAAAATAATAAATTAAAAGCAATCTTTGCATATTTAGCTTTCCATTTCAGAAATCTCTGTATTTATCTACATGGTCTTCTACTTCTATTATCTTTTATTTTGTCTCTCTCTAATCTCATTATTATATCTTAATTCTAACCTGTTCTGCTTTTCGCAGTAAAGCTTGCTGTAATCTTTTCTGATAACATTAGCATGGGAAAACATTTTTATCAAATGGATAATAACAAAATAAATTACTTTTGCTCATTCTGCAATAAATAATATGATCTAAAGTTCATGATGTTGGGGGCTGAGGCTGTAAAACAAGATGTTACAATTCATGATTAGCTTTCTAAATAATGAATACTGAATCAAATGTAAGTCATAGCTTCAAAACTCATGAGTTTTCAGAATTCAGGATCAATAAAAAGCTCAGGTTTATCATGTCTGACTACTTATCCAAGGGGCTGACTGCTAATTGCTTTGGTCTTTATCACATTTCAAAATGGAGCTGTTCTTTTTGAGGTCTTCACCTGCAGAAAATATATATTACTGCAAAATACCACCAAAACAGAGATTACCACTTAAGATCTCTTTGCCATTTCTTAACACAAGAGGAAATAGCAGTCCATCAGAAAGGGGATAGGCAGTTAAAGCATCTTATTCCTTCTTTTCACTGGTCTTGGATTAACCTGTTTGACATTTTAGATCATTCTGATATGTCTGCTTATTTTAGTGGAATCCCAGCAATGTGAAGTTACAGCAATGCAGAGCTGAGCCAAAACCCAGCTGTTTGTATGATCTTTTTAACTGTTTATCTCATTGGGAATTGCCATCTCCTGCCAAATCAGATGTGATTCAAAGGACATTTAAAAATGGATGTGATTATTTCGACATGTCCAGACAATCATTTAACTCGTGCAATGTGAAAATGTAAGTTTTGCTCACTTGCATGATATGCCATTGGCCTTGCGAGGGCTAGCCTATATTTGAAGGCATTTCATTGCATTCGCTTTTTTTTTTTTTTTCTTTTTTTCTTTCTGATAGGAAATGTTATCTGCAATGAATTTTGGTATATTACTCAGAGAAGCCACATGAGCTCTCAGTCTGGAACTGTGTGACTTGGATGCCTTGCCCATACAAATCAACTGCGAGTTTTTTGTACGCTGTTCCAGAAACACTGGCCTTACTGGACATCATCTGTTCATTTGCAGCAAATCCAATATATCTTCTAAACACTGGGCTAACTGCCCATGGGTTACGTGCTGCATTAGATGCATACTTTAATCTAGTATATCCCTAACAGGAAGACGCTAACCTGTAGAGAAGTAGGACGAGAAAAAGACTGTCACCTTGAATTTCAGGATTAATTCAATGATCTTTTTATCATCCCAGTTTATGTTTTCTTCGATTTTTGCTTTTTCTTAAATTTTTGATTTTTACTTTTGTCAATCTTGCCACATTTAACATCCAATTTTTTAATACTCTGGCTTTTCCAGGCTACTTCTGTTCAGCTCACCTAACAGTTGTCAGATATAGCATGATCTTTTTAACTTTAGCATCTCGTTCCATTTACCATCATTCCTAATTGCTATATGAAGGTGAATTCCCATCTGTAAATAGAGATTTGGTATCCAGGCCAAGAGAAGCAATCACCTGTGTCTACATTTCATAGTGTCAGGTGATATTTTATACACAGTTGTTTTCACAGACCTCACAGATCACTTGCAGTACAATATTTGGGGAGCTGGAAGCCTGACTTAATGATCACTGCTCATGCACATGGTTGCTGGAAAATCATTCATGAATATTGAATCCAATTATTATGAACAGGTGCAACCAAGTAACTACATTTCATGCTCACTGAGATATCACAAACACTTAAATTTGATAAAGTTAATACACAAATATATACTCTGGTACACAACAATAACTTCATGTACATTCATGAGAATGCAAATATAATGATCATGATTCTCAGTTTTGAGGTTGTGATCAAGATTCATTTGCAGTAATTTTAAACAATTATTTCACCTCATTGCTTAATTCTTTCTACAGCTGTGAATTCAATAAGGGGAGAAAGAAAATAGCTTGTGGTAATCCCTCTCATACTGAAAGCTGTAACTCATTTAGGTCTCTGGGAGAAAGAAAGGAAGTGATTGGTGCTTTCTGAAAATCTTTCTGAGCTGCATTGTTCTGGTATTTCCAGTAGTAGGCATTTCCTTTTTTAATTGGGACCAGGTCCCAGGCTCCTTCTGGAACTTGAATGAGTCAGTCATGGGCACATACCTGAGCATGTACTCACAGTATATACTCAAGTCTATTGGTTATACACTTTTGACAGCAACTGTTTTTAATCATATGGAAAAGCATAGCAGCTTGTAGGTAGTCCAAGCCAGTTCACAGAACTCTGGTGCCACTGTTGTCAATCCAGCCCCACCAGGAACTTTTTAGAATCCAATTTAAAAATATGGAGACGACTCCAAAAGTAATGTCTCCTAATTTATTATGTTGGCCCATGACATCAGAGGCTAATGTTGCCAGTATGGCAGTAGAGGTTGAACCTTCCCACCAATATTCCATTATATTTTGTTGCGTCTGTGTGACAGTTGGCAGCAAAGAGGCAGTCTGACAAAATAATATCCGACATGGAAGTGCATCTGTAGCAAAGAGATGTCACTGAATAATTCATCCATGCAGGAAAAAATGGCACCCGTTGGCAATTGTCAATGCTTGTTGAATGTTTCTGGGTAACAACAAGTGGATGTGAGCGCAGTGAGGTGGTGGGTGGTGCATTTCAGCAGTGTTGACAGTGACAGTCAGCTCCACTGGTGCAGATGTTTATGAGTGCAGTATGAAGGCTCTTGCTCATTGTGGGCATAGCTAATGTTAGTGACAATGTTGAAAAATAGTATTTTGTAGCCGAAAATTTGCTCTATCAAATAGAGTTGTTGTATTCTTTGTATCTGTTGCAGTTTCTGTGGACATAAATAGGAGTTCTTACTTTCAGAGAGACCTACATATCTTTCATCACTGCAGAAACCAGAATGTAAGAACTGGCATGAGAAAACCATGTCGGATTTCCTATCCAAATTATATTTAATTTCCCAGGATTGTCCTTTATCTTGCATAATTCTTCCTGCAATCTATGTACCAAAAGAAAAGATGCATATCCTTTTTTGCCTTCTCCTGAAGATAACTTCCTGTCTTTCAGAATGAATGACTTTCTTTTATACCTAAAAATCCTTTATCTGCATGTATTCTCATAGTTTGTATTCTTTCCTGAGCTAGGATACCACAGACCTAACCAGTGTTGTTCAGCTCCATTAATGCTTTTTGATTTGGAAGCACAAATGGTGAGTTGCCTCCACTGCTCTGCTGTGATTGCACATTGTGTTCACAAGGGAAAAATGTCCTTATGAAAATTGGTCTCATTATTTTTATGCTTCATAGTTTCCAATAAAACAATTTTCACCAGAAATGGGACTGTTGTACATCACTGAGCAGAAAAGGAAATGTTCAGCAACCTGATAACCTTGTAGAAATTGTTGTTGCTGACCTGAGCCCTGAGCTGAAAGTTAAAATGATAACAGCAATAATAATAACAATACTATTAATCTCTAATGACTTTAGAAAATACTTCTTCCTGTTTAGAGAAATTCTGTGTACTGAGTCTTTGAGTTCCATCCTCAGTATTCACTTGGGTTTCTGTATATAATGATTCCTTATATATTTATCAAAAGTCATCTTCATCAATTCAATCTTCTGTCTGTTGGGCCATATTCTCCCTCATTATTTCCAAGGTGATGGCAGGGTACTTTGCAATTGGCCTTCAGTGAGATCTGCTAACAAAATCTCTCTCTCCTTTAATATTTTTCTTTAACAGCAAGGAATAAAAAAAGGCATTTGAGTATTCCATAACCTAGACAAGGACTGAAAGTGGCCTGAATATGTCTGGAATAATAGAGACCAATTTTTGATTAGTTCTGGTTATGTAAAACCAAAGATAATTAGGATTTCCTCCAAAACTTTAAAATTAAAAAAGGAAGAGATTATTAAAGTCTATCTAAATAGTCAGATTAAGGTTTGCTCCTCAAGTTTTTAGCTTTGGCACTTCTTTAAGCAATGTGGAAATGTAGACTATGAGTAACTAGGATATGCAGCACAGAATGGTACTTGGAGGTTGAATTCATACTCCTACCCAAATCAACATACGCATGTGCACACTCATTTTGCATTTGACTTAGGCAAGGACAGGAATTCACTTCAAAGTGTTAATACTGCCTACTTACCAGGAGGGTGACTTGGAGAACAACCATTTGCCTTTCTTATGTTTAGTGGGCATCCGCTGGGCAGATGTAGGATAACATATTTTAGATTAAGCCTTGTGTAACTGCTTAGAAGATGCTGTGTCTTATTTACATTTTACCATCTCTCAAGGAGAATGTAATGCTATTATCCATATGTCATCTGCTTATTGTTCTTGAATAATGCATACAAGATTCGTGACTTCCCACTGTGGTACTTCATACTCATGTTGCTGTAATATTACATCCATTTAAAGCTGTGCTAATGTAGTGGCAAATAAGGCTATCCATACGTTCGGCATGTCTTTCCTATCCATAAAGAGAAGCCAAGTCACAGATGGTTTTTACAATGTTATAATTAATAATCATGGTATCATGTTAGTGTCATCTTAACATAATAAAAAAGTGGATATATAAATTGTTTTCAGCTTTTTCACAGCATTTACAATGACTTTTTGTAGCTTTTCCCAGCAGCGGGATCTCTGACAGTAACATTTTTTGAGCTGCATTCACAAAGAATAATTTCAGGTTAATGATTTTTTTCTTGGATACTATTTATGAAGTGGCATCATTAATTTTTTTCTATCTATCATTTTTTAGTCTAGTTCTTTATAGAGCTAGATTTTTAAAACAAAAATCTTACCTTTTCTTTCTTACATTTCCAAGCAAATATACTTTGCAAAACATAGTGTGTTACATCATTCCTCTGCTGGCCTGAATTTTGAACAGCCTAAGGTGAATGTCATTTCCAAGTCTCAGCACCATAATATCTATGTGGGCAGCCCAAACCTGGATTGATACAGAAACACTACCTGTTCTTTTGAGGTTACCTTTACTACCAATTCTGTAAAGCGATGGAGGAATATACAGTATGGGTATTGGTGAACTGTATCATTGTATGAGTATGTATTTTCTTCAGTGATTTGTGGTGTTTCCTGTTCTTTCTCTTTGCTGAAAAGACATGGGTATGTTTCTAATTGAGCTCATGTTTGGTTTTTTTTTTTTTTTAAATCTGGATAAGATTATACCAAGAGTAGATGCAGCTCTAAAACACTGCTCTTTCTGTAACCTCTAAAAGCACATTTGAAGTTCCCTTTTAATCTGGGTTTCCCTCAGTCTTGCTCCCACTCACAGGGACAAACCCTGTTGAGGGGCTCTGTATTACCATCTTGATCTTGACAGTAACTGGCAGTGAAATGGCATACTGGGATATGTTAAGGGTGGAGATGTCCTAGCAGTTTATTTCAAAACCTCAAGTCAAATTTCATTCAAGTTCTTTTTTTTGAGAATGGTGAAGATTAAGCGTATTCCCAGACTCACCTGGCTGTTGAGGAGCCCAGCCATTGTTGTACGTTACAGGCATGCTGGAGGGAATGTACTCTTCAAGAATAGTTATGTAATTTGATTATTTTCCTACCTAAACACATGTACTGTTTCCTACTCAGAAAAGAATAAATATATTTTTATACACAATAGCTGTAAATTACCTGATGTCTTCTGCTATTCTAAATCGGAGTTCTTCGTTGCAATAAAATGCACAAGGAACAAGAAAATATTTACAGTCATATTGTTGTATATTTCAGAAAAAGTCTCTTGCAGTGGCCCAAAGAGATGACATCTGGAGAGTCTAAGGCTACAAGCTTAATGTGTGCCTGGTCTCTCCCAAGCTCCAGTCCTCGTTTTATTGGAAATTTACTGAATCACCATGAAGATTTGAGTTTAGTAAGTACTGATGTCTTCTTTCCTTCTGATGTATGTCTCTTTGGTTGCTGTTGGAATCCATGGAAGCTTTCAACATCAGCCTGTTGGTGGTGGTACATTCAACGAGTTAAGTACATCTCCTTTTTCAATGATTAGTGTTATAATTTCATCTAGAGATGTTTAGTTTTTAAACTGTGGAAAACAGTGAATCACTGTTCCTAGAGATTTTCTTAATCAAGAGTCCTAGTCCATTCTGTTGTACTGTTCCTTATCCTGGTCATCTTTGATCTTTGTAGTCATATTAATTTTACTACAAAGAACACATCAGCTAAACCTGCAATAATACTATAGACACATATGAAATATAATGTGTTTGTTTCATTTTTCCAAGATATTTTAAAATTCTTTTGTCTATTATTCAAAGGCAACAACATATATTCAAAAAATGCAATGTATTTCTGGATTTTAGCAATTTTGACAAGGCATTTTAAAAACTGTTCTGGAGGGCACCTTTGCAGATTCAGTTATGCAGTCAGTGCCACTGATGAGTAATCTTAAGTGACTAAAAACTTGGCACCTGCCTTGATCCACCACTATTTTTCAGATATCACATTGATCACTTTTACAGTCTGTTATAAAGAAAGCTTAAACTGAGCTTTTCACAGACTCAGAAATGCTTATGGTGAATATCCCCAATCACTTTTCAAGAGCATCCCATCAAGTTCAGTTGATAAAGATGAGATTAACCTATTATGGATGTCATTTTTCTAAAACACTGATATTTTCATTTGTCAGTTAATGCTGGTGAGAAACAGGTTTGACCTTTAGGACAGGAATACGTGAGAAGTTGTCAAAATGGATCAGGAGCTCACATAAAATAAATGCAATACAGCATTACCAGGACTCCAGAGTTCACTGATCCTTATGGTATTCCAGAAAACCCCTTCCTTCTAGAAACATCAGTGGCAAACACCATCAAATAACCACTTTGCTTAAAGATGAGGGCTGCTCTGAAAGTAACACCTCCTGTTTTATTATGTTGGCCCATGACATCAGGGGGGCAGATGTTAGTGGTATGGCAGTAGAGGTTGAACCTTCCCACCACCAGTATTCCATTACATGTTGTTGCCGTGTGACAGATGGCAGCAGAAGGGCAGTCTGATAGAATGGCATCTGACATGGAAGTGCATGTGAAGCAAGGGAGTGTCACTGTTAATTCATCCATATGGAAACAATGGCACCCATTGACATTTATCAGTGCTTACTGAATGTTTCTGGAGACCAAACACTGGATGTGAGCACAGTGAGGTGGTGGGTGGTGCACTTCAGCTGCGGTGACAGTGACAGTGGGTCACCCCTGCTGATGCAGATTTTAACAATGTGGCATGCAGGCTCTTGTTCACTGTAGGTAAAAAAGCATAGCTAATGTTGGTGACAGTGTTGAAAAATAGTGTTTTGTAGCTCAGAATTTTCTCTGTCAAATAGTGTTATCGTTCTCTTTGTATCTGTTTTAGTTTGAAAATGAATAGGAGGCATTTCTTTCAGGATGAACTATTTTAGCATACTTGCAAGGAAGGGGCTAATGAAACAGTGACTGACGTATGCAAAGCATTCCAGCTGCCAATATGGAGCAAGTCTGACTTTCTACTGTTATGGCACTTCAGCCTTTTTTGTTTTCATATTTGGGACTGAGGGTTGCTGAGTGACATACGTTAGGAGTTTATAGAGTAAGTTAATGAACTGGAGTTTTCATATTGTCTTGCTATCCTTTTTCTCACGTATTATCAGTACTAAGTGAAAATGTTTTACTTCTTTTGTCTTGACTTTCACCTATGAAAATAAGGTCCCAGTCTCAAGTTTTCATAAATTACAAATATGCATTCACAGCAGAGTGACTGAGTTTAGAAGAGACCTCTGGAGGTCTTCTTGTCCAAAACCCCTGCTCAAACAGGATCACCTAAAGCCAACTACACAGGTCCAAGTCTAGATGGGTTTAGAATAACTCAAAGAATGAAGACTACACAGCTTCTCTATGAAACCTGTATCCGTGCTTAGTCTCCTGCACAAGAAAAATCTGTTTGGCTAGAACTTGCCATGTTTTAGTTTCTACATTATATCTGATACTATATCATCTATATCATCTACTGTTTATGAATTTAGATTTTGTGGTAAACAAGGAAGACAGATCATTCTAGACTATTCAAAATTAACAAGACAAATAATACTTACTAATGTATTAGAGAAGTGATGCAGTTATACAATATTGCTTTAAATAAGTGGTTCTTAGGTTATTATCTTAATAGATTTGCACACCAGAGGTTTATAAGAAAATCTTCTCTCAGGATGTCTCATATTCCATTTCTGCAATGTGTTAAAGCTCACGTCAGCACTCAGAGTAATTGAAAACATAATATTATTGAAGGATTTAATCATCATTTTAATTCTTTGATATTCGCATTTTAACTGTCTTAAAATAAATTTTGGAGCTGGAAATAATGATAACATCAGCATTAAAGTAGCCATTGCGTAGTGGGGAATAGTGGAGGTTAAGATGCAAATGCAGAACATGTTAGATTTACTCTCAGGACAGTACTGAGAGCTCCAGCAGGAGATGACATAGAGCTATCTTCTTCTAGTAAATTCTGCACAGTTGAAAATCTGACTTCATGTTGTTAAATTATTTATAAACAGATTTGGTGGTAAACGTGTCCTGCAATACAATACAGTAATGTTCTGCTTGTCTGTTTCCAGCAGTGTGTTACTAGTTGCTTCATCAAAGAAAACATTGCTCTGAGCTACCATTTCTTTTTTCCTTCAGGTATTAAACAATGAACAACTGGAAACTAGTAAATTTAAAACCATCAAAAAGCTTCAAGATTCTTCTTGGATGAAATCTTTGTTATCCTGGATTTACAAATCCTACTGTAACTCAGTGACAGTCAAACTTACTTTTTCCCACTTTCTTCAAAGCTATAAAAAACTTTGCTTGCTACAGAAATTGCAGAGTTAAATATACCTTCAGATTTCTGTAAATATAAGCCATTTCTCCCTGAATTTTGCTGGCTAGATTGAATTTCTCTCTTTTTTTTTTTTTTTTTTTTAAGGAAAAACGTAACATTTGGTATTAACTTATTAGGTGTACTTGATAAGTAAATGTATTTTAAAACTTTTTTACAGAATATTTCTTTCAAAATAGCTGTAAGATACTGAAATACTTGTTTTATAACATCACCTATCATGATTTAATGGAACGAGGTAATGTCCAACACTGTCTGAGTAACTTCATCCTTCTTCCAAATTTGCTGAATGATCATTTACTGTTTCCTATTTCAGATGATCAAGCATTTTATTGATGAACCTTATAAAAAACTTATTCAAAACCATACTGGAATTCAATGACAGATCTGAAAATTGAATGGCTTTTGTGCATGGACCACCATAGGTTGTATCAGGAAGATCCTGATATAACCAAGTAGTCCTCCAAAGACAAACCTCTCTCCAGGAGTAAAATATGAGCTACAGTCCTGGAGGGGGTTAACCCTCAGTTCAAGAATAGTTATTCATTCCTGTAATTGAATACAAAAGACGTAGGGATTGATTTTCACCTACACCCAAATTCATGGCTCCTGTGAGGGTCTAAGCTGCTGACAAATAATTTCAGCTTCAGCCATTGATTATGCTTCCATAGTGAACATTAGATATACACTAAAATTGATATAGCATGTATTGCAGGAGTCATATAATATAAGTACTCCCCATTTCTTAGCCAATCTGTCACTACTCTTAAGCTGTGCCATGCACAGGAGATGCAGGATTTGCCTTCCTAAGGAGGAAATGGCCATCAAGTAGAAAAATGAATTCACCTTTATTGTACTGTGGTGATGTGGTGAAGATAATTACTGCAGCTCTATTACATTTGTTTTGAAACACATAGCCTTTGCCTTTTCAAATTGCCTTGACCATATCACCACTCGTGTATTTGCAATGAAAATCTGACATCAGAGGACAGAATAATAACAGGAGAAATCCTCATTTCATATTTACCTTGTTTACTCTCCTGAGTCACTGAAAACACAGTGATCTAGGTCCATGCTTTTATACTTCTTTTTACTATATATACACACATATATAAAAAAATTAGCGTGTGTACTGCCAAACTCTGTAGGTCACTACTCATCTTCCCAGGTATCTTCACACACCGTAATTTCTGGTGCTTAGAATTGGTAGACTGCAAAAAGTAGCACTCCTGTGTTCCCTCTCATTCATACTGTGAATACTCAATTCTCCAAGAATTTTGCTGCTGGTTTCTGACCAGCCAAGCCCATATCAAAACCAGCCAAAGTCTAATCATAATTTTGCCAATTAAAACTTGTGTGCTATTATTTGGTGGGTTTTTTTGTTTGCTTTTTATTTATTTTTTTTATAGCCTAAAGCATACTGTACTGTCTGCTGTTAAAATACAATCCTTTCTGTTTACCTCCTCATGGCTCACTGAAAAAAAAAGATATATGCTTACAATGACAACTTTCAAAATGTTTTTCATTTCTTCAGATTTCTCCTCAAAGCTTCAATTTAATCAATAATTCTAACTAGCTATCAGAGTACTTATCTTTATTTTTCCTAATAAAAATGAATAGTTGGAGTAGAATGTGTCCAAAGCCATTTTTATCCATTCCTTCTTCATGACTTACCTCTTTTGTGTAGCAAATTTTAGCATTTCAAATTTTAAGGTAAAGAAAAATCCTTCTCCTTGAAGAAGAATTTCTCATCAAGAGAGACTTTTTTTTTAAAGTAAGGATAGCAAATACAGCCTGATGGAATAAACACCTTAAGACATTTTCCATACATGAATATCTCTTTAACATAATTAAAATTCTAGAGATTAAATTCTTTGCAGGCTTAACTCAACCGAAAGAATAAAAGACATTGTGATAAAACGATATGATTACTTCGGTCTCCATGTAGTATAAAGTACAATTCCTTAGGATTTCTTCAGTAACCCATGTTCATAG